TCGATACCTCTTGAAGAATCCTCCCAGTGTCCCTTTTTCTCGTTTTTTTATTTTATTTTTTAAAAAGTCCCTTTTGTCTCAAGGATACCCGGAGCACTCAAGTGCCAGCTGAAATATCTCGCCGAAAATAAAAGGCCCCTCGGTGTATCGTCAAACGCGAGAAACAACCGTCAGGAGATGCATCCAGAGAGCGAGGAATAAAATAAAAGCAAGATGACCACCAGTTGGTGGTAGCACCAGAGGAGAAACAATAATTCACAAGGCGAATGGAAGAATAAAAGGTTATGGAACAATGGTTATACGATTGGGAAACTTGTATTTCAAGTCTCCAACATCGGCTGCTCTGAATCATGATGACATTGATAACTGTCGTTAAAGTTATTCGCTGGAAATAAATAAAAATCGTAAAATTTGTAACGTGAAACTCTGGGGTCGCTGAGATGTTTAGGTAATTGTTTTGATTTCTTTATTCAATCGGGTCGAGGGGGTAAATTACATGCAAATTGCTCGAGGAATTTTATTGGGGGAAGGGAATTGGAATAAAGGGCTCATGCGGAGGTACAAATGACGCCACGAGGAATGCTCTTTGTTCTGGCCTCGTCTGTTCGGTTTATTCCCATTTTTTTTATATCTTTTTCATCCTCGAGTGAGGTTCTGCCCAGTGGTTTATCCCGGGTCATTCCGTTCTATTTTTTCCTCAGGAATTTCGAGGATAAATAGAATCGTAAATTTCTCTGGTCATTCTATATTTGAATTTATTTCAAAAAAATATTAAAATAAAATCAAAGGGCATTGAATAATTATAAATAATTACAGTAATTGGACTAGTCAGTGGTGGAATTTAATTCCTCGGTATCTCATGATTTTTGTATAAAAATAGTGGATTGAATAATTTTTCATTTATCATTACAGTTATGCATTGAAATGAATAGAAATCAAGAACCGGAACGAGATGCTAGTGGTGCGTGTATGTAAATGAGAAAAACGTGAGCCGTAAATCGTGGTGAGGCCCAAGGGCTGAGTGAAACCGAAGAAAAATAGAGAGCGATCAAGATCGATCGTTCTTCCCAGAGTGACGACCACCTCTGGAGAACTTGCACGTTCCTAACTCCAAACACAAGAGCAAGAAAAAAAAAAGTACTCCAAAAACTTTATGCCCATCGAATTTTCAAGGGGCACCCAATAATTCCTGATTGTCCGGTCCCAAAGGATGAGTCTGCAGACTCCATTGCATCCGATAAATCATATTGATGTATCACGTGGAGAACAATGACTGAATATTCACGTTTGATCGCACCGTTGGACAATGAAAGTAATTACCGATTGCGTTTATATCCATTGGGTGAAGATACTTTATATGGTGTTGGAATGGAGGTGAGTCAAAGTGATGGGACAATTACGGTGTAATTAAACCATCACTCGGGCCGCAGAAGAAATCCATCAGACACTCGAGATGAAATCGCTGGAACTTATTCGAAGAATTCGCATCATCGATTGAGAAGTTTCCCATGTGAAAACTCTCGGGTTAAAAATAAGTCCCCATGGGTCCCCCGCAATGCCCCCATATCAATCAATAGTATTTACAATGGAATCCCTTCAGCTGTGAATTTTTTACAAGCCGCCATATGGATCTCCGCTGGCCATATGGTGCAATTATTTTTTTTACAAGTCCTACCCCAAAACTACTGGAAATTCACTCGATTCGTGGAATTATTTATTTTTTCGTATGGAAATTTTTACTTTGAATTCTACGTTTCGCGCGTGCTGCTCCACCTGTATAAAATAAAGAGGGGATGGGGCCCATCCCTGAATGGGAGAATTCGGGGCACGAGGGGCCCGAGGGGAACTCCCGGGTAAATTACAGGATTACTCTCCAATTCTTGTGGTTCGATCTATAGCGATTAGTTTTTGCAAAAATGAGATTTGCGGAATATTGCGGAATTTGCGAGTTTGAGCCCGAGGGATGATTTAAATATTCCGATCAAATGAAATAGAAAATGAATTCTATTGAGACATTAAAAAAGAAAGATGTCTTGAATCTAATCGTCCGAGCATAAGAATTCTGTTAGAATGTCATCGATTCAGTGTTCTTATCCACGGGATTGACGAGCGTCTGATACATCTTCCCTCAATTTTTTTTAAAACCACCGATAAATGTATTGAATATATCGAGGATATCGAGTGGTCCCGGTTATGCTCAAACGTCGGGCATAAATAAGTATTGAAAAATCTATGTCGGCGGCATAACCCACACAGTCAGTACATAAATATCTGACGGTTATATTTCATGCTGATGATGAAAAAAAAAAAAAAAGAGGCTGTACACTGTTGGATATGTCTTCTTGGCTCCATCCTCACTCTATCTTTTTTTTATTCCATTCCCTCATTTCTTCTGATAAATTCAACGTCTCAATCCGTCGATGCTGGCCTGTTTCGATATTCTGCGAGCGGTCAATTAAGGCATCCCCTACAGATGTCTGGATCCTCAGTGACATTACCAAATATGCTGACCAAATATAAATGTTGCATTTTGTTTTTGCAGACATTTTGCATGAATTGCATCGATTACGAAACGATGTTGAGATTTCTTCTTTCAATGTTATCAAAAACTGTCCCAATTCCTCGGATACCTCGAGTGTTTATGCAACTTTCATCCATTAATTCCCTTTCAACGCGATAAAATTGCAAGTACCAGCGTTTAATCTGGGATTCCTAAGGGATAGGCGAGGGTAATGCAAGGATTTTCTTATCAATCTAATGGAAACCCTTTAGGGCCCGCACATTTGACTGTCAGAGCCCAACGATTTAAATATTTAGATATTTAACGTGTAATCAGTTTAGAATAAAAATTCATTTCCACTCGTTTCATTAAAATTCAAGTTTTATTGATATTCGAATCATTATAATTCTTTGGCGTTCATATAATAATCATTGCACTCGTAAATACAATATTAAATACAACTCCCTATTTTACATAAATAGTAGTTGCTATAAGAAATCACAATAATGTAAAAGTCTAATTGCTCGTTATTAATTAAATTCGAGACTAATAAATAATATTAACGTACATTAAAATCCTTGTCTCAAGTAATATTTTCGTTCAGTGGCGTATCCTCTTCTGAGTAGAAGGTCGCCGAGGTCTTCCCCATTGACAGAAATATTTCCCCGAAAGCTCGAATTTTCCTCCACAGCGTTTTCCACGTGGAGGACACCACTCATTCCAAAGGTGAAATCCTGAAGAAGAGAGCAGGCGTCACTCCACAAGTTATCAATCACCGCGACACCAACGAGTCCACAGTGTATCGCCATCCTGGGGATTTTTTTAAAAACGTCATCCAGCTGAATGAGCTCATGCCACATGACCTGACCAGAACATGCATCATCGATGTACCAGACATCGATGGCATCTCCAGGATCATCAGGGAGTTCTTTGATGACAGCCCGATGCACACCAAACCTCAACACGCCTACCAGCATCCCTTGTGACAATTCTGACAGCCCCAGGGGCCTCTTCTGTCCCAAATTCTCGTAGTATCCAGACAAAACTCTCGAGAGAGTCAGATAGTCTGAGCGAAGTGACTCCGGTCGGATCCAGATATCGTTCGGTCCATTTGTGCTGAGGACCTGCACTGGAAACTGATCTCCAAGGTATTTCATGTCAGATAGTGGCACTGGAGATACTTCTTCACTCTTCATTGCTTCAATCACTGATCTGTTCACTTCTTAGGATCACAATAAACTCGTACTTCTTCGTTTTTCGAGAACAGATTTTTCTTGCACTTAAACTATTCCCTCTTTCGAGCTCTGGAGAAAAATTTTGAATGATTTTCAAATGAATTTTTAGAAATTTATGGCGTGTGGCAGATTGACGTGGAAAACCTACTGGCAGCTGTCGTCTCTTGGCATGGGTCAAATAATTTTAGAATATCCCATACAGGAGGGGATACCCGTATGGATTTTCCGATTTGGAAAATGGTGGGAGGGATATGCAGCCAATGAAAAAGTGCAGCTACTCCCCATGACGTTGAAAATATATTCTGGCACAGTCATTAATTATCGCTTAAAATTTCTCACTAGTCACCCTAGGATCACAGGTAGATGGAATTTGAGATAAATTTTGAAGGGTCTTCCTTGGAAATACCGGTTTGGTGGAGAAAATCGGTGGAAGAAGAGAAATAATTTTTCCCACTCGGCGGTTTAATTGAGTTGAATGAATATTCAATGGAAAATTTCCAGCAGTTTTTATTGATCGAGTGGTGATCAGTTATTTCAATGCACTTGAAGTGCCCACGCAATAAGAAACTGGTAAAATCACGGGTAATTGGTGACTACAACGGGTGTGGACGAGTCATCACAAGCAAATCGTGTGACTCTAACGAAAAATAAATCGAGTGAAAGGCAACAGAGGTGGAAAATTCTTTCCGACTCACTTTTTATCTCCCCTAAGAAACGGAATTTGTACCTGCGCTTCACCTTTTTATTCTTCTTCAACTCTGGATTTTTATTTTTATTTTATTTTTACCTGGGGAAAAAGGGGGTCTTCAACCGAGACTCACCTCGCCCACGTGTTACTATCTCGTATACGTTTTTCTCGTGTCGCAATGGCGTATCGCAGTTGGACTTTCTACCTTGTTTGTATTATGATTAAATTACAGGTAAAAATTCAGGTGCTGTCGAGAGGATATTGTTGTTCAGATTCGTTTGACCGTAATTATAAACAATTGTTCGACAAAAATAATAATTCCAACAAATGAAGACTCATAAAAATTATTCATTCACTTCAGTTTAATAATCATAAAGAAACTATTCTTTTAACATAATGACAAAAAAAAAATCATTTGCAATTGTTTTAAAGAGTTGAATAATTTTTATGAGTGTAAAAAATCAATTAATAATGGATAATCAATAACAATACGTGATGGAGTATGAGAGACGTAGAAATAATATTTATGATTTTTTCTAATCTCCTGATTAGTTGAAGTTAATACGAGATAACTCACTTTTTCCTTTGACAAACTCTGAGCTGAGATCACTGGTGACATAGTTGCTGCTAATGATAACGATAAATGTTATCACAAGGCATTTGTAGATTTTTGTCGACAGTGCCTGTAATGGCTCGTGTCGGTGGTTGAACATGATGAGCTATCATGCCCATTCACCACAATCCACCAGCTCCTCAATATTGACCTCGTGCGTTAAAAAATTCCTTTGATCCCGGACGAATGAAATTCTCTTGCTCTCTTGGACAAATATTTCTTCCTCTCGCATCCCCATGGCTGATTAACTACCAGTTGACGATCATGTCTCTCCACGTTTTCACGTTTTTTTCTCTGCAACACACAAATGTCAAATAAAAATTGGTTAAAATTAATTTATGGTATTAATGAAATAAATGAGGGAATCGATGGGATATTTTCGGGGTGAAAAACCAGTCGCGGGGACATTCCTCAGGGGTAGAACCAACAAATAACATTAGGTGGATGGGGTAGAGGCGCCAGCTACAGTATTTAATTTTGATGGCAACCATAAAAATCTGGTATTCGGTGTCTTTCTTTCCTCCTTTATTTTCCCCTGGCATAACTTGTCCCGTTCTTTTCCCGATTTCTCAGAAATTCGCGCTTTGAATCTCCCTCCATTGATTCCCAATTAACAAAAAATTTAATTAGGATAATTACTCAAAAATCCCGGGGCTTCCGACGAAAAAATTATTGTACTTTTAATTTTTCATAGCAGCAACTGTCGTCGCCATTTTATTTGAATTTCCGAATTGTTGAATAATTTGAGGTGAAATTTTTACCATGACGACTGCATTAACTAATGAGAAATTCTCCACAAATTACTCACAATTCTCCATCGTCCCAGCCCATTAAAACTTTCACCCGGGGTAAATTAGAATTCTCGTTATCCGGATGAGAATAAATCCGTGGCACTGGTGTTTACTCCTGGTGGAAATAAAATAGAAAAAGCGAGTGGAGAAAGAAATGAATGGAAAAGAGAAAAAAAAAGGTGAACAAAGGGTTGGAAGAGAACGAGGTTCTCGGGATGGCGACATCGTTCGTATTTATCGACACCGTGTCTCCTCTTGGTTATTCCACCAAGCACTAGGTATACAGAGAATCGCGGCTTCTTTTGAGGGTATACCTGGCAAAAAGCCCCTGAGCCCTGAAGACACGTCGCCTCCGTGTTAACTGCTCTGCTTATGCATTCATATCCTTGTTCACCAACATCAGGACCGGCTCTGATTGTTGCCACAAAATGCGACAACAGATACCCGTGTTTGTCCAGCCTCTGGAGATTATTTTCACCCGACTCCCACTATTTTTTCTCCCTCTATCCCATTCCCCTCAAAAGTCACCACAAAATTGCGAAAAATCTGTCAGCAGAAAATTTTCTCTGATCCCTGGAAAACTCTTGAGAAAAATCACCATGAAAAACACGTTGTGAAAGAAACAGGAATAATGATAAAATTGATTTTTCAAATAAAAGAGAATTCACCTGACAAGTTTTGACATAAATAAGAAGTTTTTTACCCCTTGGAATATAAATCGCTTCATCGGATCACATTATCCGTTGGACTCTCACTCACAGTAATGGAGGGTTCGACGTGGGGCAAGAAGCGTTGAAAGAAATATCTGAAGAAATAGCGATGAAAAGGACACAAAAATCCAGGAATATAATGTCAAGGGGCTAACGGTATTAAGTGAGAACGTGAGCGAGGTAACGATGTGAATTGCATTTCAGTCTCGATTGTGGTCAAGTAGACGTCTTCTATGCATTTTACCAGTTACCACTGGCTATTCATTATTTTTTTACCCTCATAAATTGAAGAATTGAGAGCACGGGGCTTTTCAAATTGTCCAGCAACATGTTTTTATCGTATTTTCCGTCGAGCTATTTTAATTTGCCCACAAGTGAAATCAGCAGGATAATGCGTTGATCTGAGATCAGCGTTCGACATTTTTTTATTCTAGATTTTTTTCCTCAATGCACGAGACCAACATTGTCGACGTGAAAGCTAAGCTGTCGTAATTCACTCAGTGTGTCAGAGATATATAGAGCTTCCTATACGTTTACCAAGTTGGAGATTTCAAATCCTCTCATTACGCCAATAGAATATTCCGTTCTGTGAGTTTTATGGTAAATCGGCTGCATTCACTCGGCAGCTTCAAGTCATTTGTAATTAGGTTAATGAAAATTTCTGGTGTTACAGTAATCCTCTGATACCTCGAAAATGCACCGCCTCAAGAGAATTTTCACTCTGTCCATGTCCTCTGGTGAGTACAATTATGCAAATACCAGTGAAATTAATTAACCGATTGTCAATCGATCGAAGGTATTGCGCCACGAGATGAGAGAATCATTCGGATCTGTTGCTCAAGTCCCACAGCTGTCCCCAGGGATTCCTGGAGGGAGTCTTTTCTACTTGATCTTTCTCGTAAAACAAATTTCAACGTGTGCAAGAAAATTGCTGGTAAAAATGCATCAGGATCGGTCAGTGGAAAATCGGATGGTCAAGAGGAGTTGGAGAACTCTGGAAAAACGTATCCGGAGATTATCAGAGAGTACAGTGAGCAAATTGAATCGAAAATAGCGCGGAATGAAAAGAAAAATCGATCTTCGGGGATTTTCTCGAGGATGACGATCGACCGGATTTCCTCGTTGACGGGGATGAAGAAGAAGGATGGGGGTTCATCGAGTGATTCCTCGAATTCATCGGGAGATGCCACTAAAAAATTTGGAAAATATTCAGACGAGGGTTCTGAGATATCGGTAATTATCGAGCCCCTACCCCCGGATTTACATTCGAATATGAGTGACATGGGTATAATGATGATTACAGTCCGCGAAAAAATAGCATCGACTCATCCATTTGGTGTCGTTGACCTTCGGATAAACGGTGAACCGGTTACACGTGTGAAACAAATAACTAGAAGATTTCCAAATCTCAATGTCACGAATTCATCGGGAAAGTGTGAGATTAAAATTCCCATTACCATGAGTAATAAATCCGTGATGAATCTCTCGTTATCGGGCCCAAGACGGTCTGAATCAGAGACCGATTCATCGATCAGAACCACCGGAAGATCTTCAATGAGTAAAATTGTTCCCTGGTGGACGACCTTGGAGTCTTTCCGCGTCCTCGAGATCCCACGGCACCTGAAAATCGAGCTCCAGGTGTCAAAAAATTCCCCCGAAGAAATGAAGATGCCGAATAATTCTGAGGAACTATCACAAGTTAAAGTTAATTCCAGCCCGGTAGAACCCGGGAAATCGGTGACGATCTTCCAGTCCGACAAGATCATCAACTCCTGGTTCAACTCGAACTCGAAAATTTCGCCAAGTCACAGATTCCCAGAGACGCGGTTGAGATACGCCCCGATGAAATTCATCGTTCCTTCCATAAAAAATGATAAACCGATTCCAAAGATCGGTATCACCCGAAAATCGGCAATCGATTCGCATTCTCCGGGTGGAAAAATCATGGAGACTGGGAAGACAATGAGGCCCATCACCCAGGGAATAGACAGTCTAATTGATTACAAAGATCGTTTACCTATGGAGAAGAACTCCGAGAGGAAATTGCGTCAATTGGAGGATTCCCCGGAGGACCAGAGCCGGATGCCGACGGAAGAATCGATAGCGGAAGTCATAGCAAAGAAATCGGGTGCTCGTGACGGATCGCTGGAGAGGATCGTTAAAACGCGTTTGAAAAACCCCAACACAGAGCCAGCAAAACATCCTGACGATTCAGAGAGGACAACAGGTCCCGATGCATCGGTAAAACCGATCCAACGAGTCAACAAACTTGACAGCAAAGTGTACACTGATGAATTATTTTCAGTGATGCCCCGTGCTGATCCATCTGGTCACATCCAGGCGAGTTCAGGTGGTAACAACCAGGCAGCCTTGCGGGAACCGGCGACCCCAGGTAAATCCGGGTATCAAAACACCGAGAAATCCACCAACAGAGTCTCCACCAAGGACGATAACATCCTGACACCCGGTACGAGATCGATGCGGAAGTTGAAGATGAGACTTCAGAGATCGGTAGATCGTCACACCCGGAATGCGGATGAACCTTCCAAGAATGACAGAGCAAACTGTCACGTGGATTTTAATCAGAATGCTGATAAAAAAATTCTGTACTCTGCCTGGTTGCACAGTCAAGGATCACCCGAGGACTGAATGTTGTTTAAATAAAATACCATTAACAAAAATTGCCTGGGAATAATTCTGCGAAGACCATGATGGTGGCTCAATGTCTTTCTGCCTTTATCCCCAATTTGCAGACGCGCGAGATAACAGAAGGTCCCCGATAACCAGTCATTACCCGTCACTGTTGGATATTTCAGTTGGGGAAAAATAAAAAAAAAAATAAAGAGGGGCCCCACCAGGTAAGAAGCCAGGGATATCACGCTTGCAACTCAACCCATCATTACATGCACGCGTTTTCATGGTCGAAGGTAAAATAAATGTTGGCAAATGTATTTCAGAGAAATTCTCTGGGTGAATTTAATTGGAATTTTGAAAATGGGAATTGTTCGAGGGGAAAAATTGGAATCTGGAGAACTAGATATCAAGGATTTGACCTCCGAACCAACCGGTTCGACCCCCCCTGCCCCCCTTGAAACCCCTTTGATTTATATCACGTTAAGACTTATAAATATATCGTTGAAACGTAGTCACGTTGGTTCATCGTTCATCCCAGGGATAAAAATTTCAATCCCGAGCCCCGCAGGTAAGAGATTCCTACGGTAGAGGGATACCTCAGGAGGCGACGTAAATTCCGAGGGGCTTCAAGCATTTATTTTTACATGGCTTCTATCATATTTCATCATTTTTACTGTAATTTGCTGGAGTCAGGGGTTTTTCACTGCATCAAATTTTTTTTATTTTTCATTTCATTCACATTTTTGTCCAATTTTTCTGTGATTTTTTTTACTCGTTATTAGTAATTTTTATTTCAATGTAGTTAATACAAAACGAAAAAGTTTTTCATTTTTGAAAAATTGGCTCAATGTTGGTTCAATGTTGGGTCAATGTTGGTTCAATATCGGCGCACGGTTGGCTCAATAAATTACCAAATAGAGGTAAATATAAGCAATATTAATTTATGGACATGGCGGTGAATAAAAATAATTGTGGCAATCTAAATAACGGCTAAACCCCAGAATTCCATGGACTAACGAGTGCGTCAGATTAAAAGCCAACTCGACTTTAATGACTTCGTGATTCCGAATCATTAATCCCCGTGTCCGTTTTCACGAGTAGTTTCTATAACGAGCAACAGGGTAGATTTCGTAATTAGTAGAATAAAAAGACGAATGAAAACAAACGAAAGACATTGGGAAATCGATTAGAGGCGATAGGTGTTAACGAATCCCTGATGTATGAACTTGTTGGAAAACAGTGGTAAATTAAATTGGACAGTTGATGGACGATCGTTGCACTTGACCATTTTTCAATTCTTCCAGCTTCACTTATTCATTCCCAACACGTGTGAATTCGTCTCGGCAAATCTCTCGATTCAAGGACGACTGGTTCTCCAATCCCGATCACAATCCCCACTGAATTTTTCGCCATTTCTACATTTTTATTTTCTCATTTTACGCGACTCTGGAACTTGACAATTTCCATTAGACCCGTGAAAGTGCATTTTGTTGACTTGGAGGTTCATCGATCACAAGTCTCTTTACGAGCCACTCGCATTAATCGCCCCGACGACGATAATCCCGTTTAATACCCAGGATTCCTCCTCATGTAAAAGCCCCACTCTTTATCAATCGCTATTTAATCCCCACATTTTTGACTCTTTTTATCCCGAGGGATCAATTATTTTTCCCCTCATTTTACGACTCGGTATCTTGCACTCTAAAATCCACGTCGACGTCTCCATCAAACCGTGAGGACGGGTGAAAAAAAAATAATCGTGGCGGTTAATGCGATTAAGAAGCGTGAGTTCACCCTGAAGAAGTGCATTTTGAGGAACGAAAAATCTTCAGAATGCAACATCACCACCTAAAATGGTAAAATCAAATCGAAAACACTCGACGCAACAGCTCCCGATAAAATAATCATTCCCGATCGATTTACGATGAAGCAAGATGTCTCCAGATGCATTAGGGTAATTCAATGCTCACGTGAATCGTAAAGTGGATTGCCAGTGGGATTTAACGTCCTGACATTTTCATTAGAGATGTCGACACATTTATTCAAATTTTATGGTCAAATCTTTGAAGCATTATTAGCATTGCATCTGTTTCTTTTACCCCCAATCTTTTGACTTTCACCTCGTTGTGATTGGTTGGTAGCTGAGACAAGAGACAAATGCATCGGCAGTTTGTCTTGTCGTTTGTCCAGTGGAAGGTGTGGAAAGTGAAATAATGAATCGACCATTGTCACGTCGCCGACGCCCGCTGTCTTCAGCTACCCTTCAATGTCATCACCCAGGTGGTCCCCATACCCCCTAATTCGTCGACGAAGATTAATTAAATGCACCTGATAATAGCCCTGTTTTTGTCGAGCACCCTCGACACCCAGAGAACTCATTTGAATCGCGCTAAAATCTTTATCCAACCTGTCCTTACTCTCTCACCCATCGGATTTTATCACGAACAGTTCCCCCATTTGTTCACCTGTACCAACAATCGACTCAAGTCGTTATCGTCACTCTTCTTCCAGCAAGACCTTCAGGCAAAACGATAATAGCTCCTGTATACTATGGTGCAGCTCCAATGAATCTGTGGAATTCGCGCAAATAATGACCAACAGAACAAACACTCGCAATTGTTTATAGAATATCTTTGGTTTGTGGATTTGTTTTTTTGGTGGACCACCTCCTTGATGAAACCATCTCCCATCGAATTTACTGTTCCTCGTACCCATCATCGTGAACTTTCTTGTTTGAGGAGTTTAAATGAGATGAGAGAAAAAGAGGGTGGACGACTGTTGCTTTGGCGGAAAGGATATGTTCCCCTAAAGGAGAACCCAACGGCCTTATTTGGCATCTCATTATGGACATCGTGCCGTATTTTTCGTGAGTCACTGGGTCACGATCGTGTAAACACGTAAAAACTCTTGATCGAATTATAGCAGTTCTTCTGATATCACTCGGCTATCTTCCATTTTATTCATACGTAATGAATAAATCTGAATGTACAATAATTTTTGGATTACATAAATCCGTCTGTCGATCGTCATGAAAGGAATTTGAGACTGAGAAGAAGTTCAATGCATTATATATTAGGGATTATTCAAGTGCCTTGAATTTTTTTTATTCAAGTTCTCACATTAATTCAGCCACGACGAACCAGTCCATTTGGATAATGAGTATCTCCGAATCTAATGGAAATTACGAAATTTTGATAATCACCTTTTTTGTAGCTCTTACTTCGCTCTCAAAAAAACGTCTTAACGAAAATTTCACAGTTTTCATTAGATTCTGAAATATTCTCCGAAAACTCGAAAATGCCGGATTATAGGATTTATGTTTTACTAAAAATCTAATTATCCCAATATTTCATGAACTATTGGCTTCAGGAAAAAATGTGAGAAGACATTTTCTCTCGGAAATTTGATGAAGCACAGAAAAGTTCCTCAGACTCTCTCATTTAAATCGATACTTTTCGAGATAAATCGATAATTAGTAATATTGAACGATCTGATTTGCTAAATTGGTTTCTGAATTTCTCCTTATGGGGAATTTTAACCAGTTCAGCCTTGATGTCGTTCTACCGATCAAGCTTTGCATCGATTTTCTTTCGCTCCATCTAAGTCGTGACGGCATCAGCTGACTTTACAGCCAGCAGATGATGTCACCGGTTGCAGCGTACGCGTATGCATTATCCTGGTGTTTTTACCTTTGAGTACCAAAGCAACAAACGCCTACACCAAAGACGTCAGGAAACTACTAAAACCAGCGATTACCGATTTTTAAACATTATTCCAATGCTTCCAAGGAATTGACCTTCCCCTGATTGCTTCCTCACACACTGCGCCCACCAGGATTCAATGATACAATTGATCTGTGTCAAATTGCGAGAGAAAATTTCTTTGTCAATCCACCAATAATTATGGAACCAACGGAGGTGTCATGTGGGTGCATTCTCTCATTAAATTAATATCGAGTGTCGAAATCCTGTATAATTACGAGAAAATTATGTTGATTCGAAGGAGTAAAATCACCTGATGCAATGAATCGTTAAAAAAATGATGGAAATACATTTTCATGGAGCTGGTTGTGAGGACAGGTGAGAGTAAAAAAAAATTCATCTCGCTGATTGGAGAATAAATAACAAGAAGTCAATACCTAAACCTCATTTAGGTAATCAGAATTCTTAATATGATGGAGAAGAAATAATGCCAGACACCTTGAACACATGTCGAGAGACACGAATCGATTCTCAGGATTCGAGGGCAGAGTTGTTCTTTATTTTTCGTCAATTAGAAGCAACATCACCCCTCTTTTAACTGAAGAAGGTGGAAAAAAAGAAACCAGACTGGACTAGCCACCGAATTCTGCTGGTCCTGGAGAACCTCTCCCTGAATCCACGATGCCGGTGGGATTCGAAAGAATGACATTAACATACCGGTAAAAGTGAGTTTACAAAAGAAACAAATTTCAAGGCAGTGGTCACAAAGAAATGTACGGTTTTTTCATTGTTTTGGGAGTGAAACGGTTTCGTAAAATGGAGGGAATTCAATGGTTTTAGCTGGAATCGATCGAGGTTTCTCGCCTTGGAGACCTAAAACGAGCGAAGGACTAATTAACGGATCTCTTAACAAAGTTATATTGAGGTTCAGTGTCTCAATCAGCGGTTGAACGCAGCGTCACGCTCCACGACCTTTCAATTTGCATTTTTTTTTCCCCGCCAGTCCCTCGTTTTTTCTTTTTTTTCGATTTCCGTGATTTATAGACGATGTCTTGTCAACGGGGGCATAAAAAGTATTTATTGATTTCATGTATGCACATGAGCAGGACGCGTCCTGTTATGGTAGGGTTTAACGTCTGTTACTAGTTAGTCAAGTCCTTGACGGATACCCCACGCAATTTCTTCAGGCCATGGATTGAGTATCGCTAATGAACGTTTCGATCGGCTTCACAATTATTGACAGACATTCTTCAATTAATCCCAAGAAAATTTCCGAAAATTCCCAAAAATATTACACCTGAAATAATTATTGCTCCAAAATATAACCGAATTATTATCTTTTAGAATATTATGAGGGGCAATATTATTGAAGAAATTTCAGAGCGATCAACCAACGTAATTATCACTTAATCATCGCCATTTTCCTCTGATAATTACCCACGTCCTTCGCTGTTTAATTGAACGATTATTTTTACCAGATGTAACACAATATCATTTCTTCCAGCCGAAATATTTCCACATCGTGTAATTTCTCGGGGCACTCTCGGATTACCCGCACGTCTCCTTACGTTTCTTTTTTTTTCGGTCTCGGGATAAAAAAAAAAAGAGAGGAACAAAAAGTAAATGCAGTAGTGGAAACCAGGTAAGGATATATATCAGTGCAGCGTTGCATTTCTGACGAGGCAGAGGAGAAAAAAATAAAGAGCGAGGGGGAGGGGGTAGGTTAAGGTAGATGGTTTGAATTCTAGAGAGACGAGAAAGCCCTCGTAATCTTTAGCCCCGGGGGTCAACCATGAGAGCGGTTTCACGACGTTAAGACCTCGAAAAAAGATCCATGCGAGATAGTCCTCGAGACCAGTACCTGGGACCTGGGCTGGAAGTATACATAAACCTGTGGTGGAACGATACTGTTTGTGAGCCCCTGGGTAATGTACATTATGCCTCTCGTGAGAGACAAAGGCATGAATATGTTCACCAGATTATTCTGAATTCTGGAGGTGCTGATTTTAAAATCCCAAATCCACTATAAATTCTCCTACTAAATCATACATTTCACTAAATCACTAGTTTTCGAAGAATCCAAGAGAGATACCCGAATTATTGTAATTACCTTTTTTGTAGATATCACTTCAGTCTACAAAAAAGGTCATCATGAAAATGTCCGTATTTACGTTAGATTTGGAGATATTGCTCGGAAACTGGAGCGAAAAACGAGACGATTTCGTTGGCTAAGACAGATACAGCTAACTTCCTAGACTATCATTTTCCTAGGAATCTAAGAGAGATATCGAAATTGTTGTAATGACCTTTTTCGTAGATATCACTTCACTCTACAAAAAAGGTAATAACAAAAATTTTGGTATTTGCCTTAGATTCGGAGATATTCCTCGTAAATTGGAGTAAAAAAGTTTGTTTGATCCCCGCCGATGACGCGGTCCAGATCCCGACGATTGAAGATGATTGAATAGACTTCGGCTAGAGTCATCGAAGTACGAATGAGCTCGGGTTTGCCTTCGCATTTAACCTCATTCCACCAGGCTGACGTCAGTATTGCCTTTCCCTCGGCTTGAGGACCTTTCCAGCATCCAAGGCAGAAAAGATGTACAGACACCTAGTTGGATTAATGCAACCGGCAATATATTTCTCCCCTGATGCCCACGTACATTGAAAGACCCGAGAGAAAGGATATTAATTAACGAGGAATCTTAATGCCATTCATTACGCTCCTCCGTATTATTTTCAAAGACGACACACTCGCAGCGACTGACATAAAAACATAATTAAATTTTGAAGAAGCCTGGAAAGGCCGATGACCAGAAGACCACCGAGTCGTTGGTTCAGGGATGACTTTTTTGCGAAGGGGCTGGAACATCCGAGTAAACAGCACCACTTCACCTCAATTCAAATGAATAAATTGTTGATACAATGTCAACATCACTCGATAAATTTATCATCAATTTGCAAACAATATCGAATGGAAAATTCAAGCGATGATTGACTGCATCCAATCGCTGGATGTTGGATGGATTATCCATCCAACAACAAATCCTGGTGTATACCATGGAAGAATTCTCGTTGGAACCACAGCCTCGGGCCAAAGTGGCTGTACATATGTACAGGGCACGCAATGCAACACAATCCATAGATGGTATTGCGTATACGTAAACCCATCTAGCTAGATGATGAAGCGAGAAAAGGTAGAATATATTCAACGAGGATGAGGAATCATCGTTTTATCCTCACTCGTCTGGCCATACCTGGGGATCTAACTCGATTTGACTGCTCGGTATAACCTCGCCCTCTTTCATTCCTCATGCTCCTAGGGTTGGGCCTCTCCTACATCTTGGAGGCCTTCAGACAGACTTATGAGATATTCATGATTTTACTTCTCATTTAGTCATGGAGAAACTAAAAAATGTCACGCTTCGGTTAAAACTACTCGTGGAAAAAATATTTCTATGTCCAGAGAATAATAGCTCACCACCCGGGTTCATTCATGATTGGGTTTTATTAATTAGACTAAATCAGAATTATCTGATCTGTCGGGCAGATGTATGAAGAATTCATTCCCCGATGAGAATGAATGCATTGTTAATTTAAAAGACAGCTCTTGCGGAAAATACTTCTTGATATCTTACGATTGATAATTGAATTGAATTATTATTATTATTTTTTATAATTGCTACCAGCGATAATCAACATCACTCCAGACAAACTTGAGATGGTCATTGTCAATCAGATATTCATTGTGAGTACAATGGGAGGTTCTCTCAAAGAACTTTTTTCGAAAATTAAGAAAAAGGGATTGTGGAAAGAAGTTCAGTCCGGTTCCCTTTATCTCTGGGCCTTTCTTTTACCTCAATGCAAAACTTCTCTAGTCCCTCATATGTACGTGGCAGATGTCATCGTTCTCTGAGGTACATTTTGCAGGAGTCAGGGGGGAAAAGGGCAAGTGAGGATGAAAAGGATACGAATGTTTTTCGAAATGTACAGTTACCGCCAACGCAACGCCTTGCCTTCTTACCCCGTCGTTCAAGTCCCCGTGTTTTATACTATCCATTCTGCTTAACATAAGGCCCAAATTCCCCCTCTCCTTATTTTTAGTGTTACGGCCCGAGAAATTCCAGACTTGCGTAATTTCAGTTTGAATTATTATTCTCGGAAATATTGTGTAGTCGGGTCTATCCGAGAGAATAATTCCGAATCTTCATTTTTATATTTAAAAAATGTAGATTAAATGAAATTTATCCCGATTTTTGGAAAGTCAACAGCGAAATCTTCAGGTGTCAACCAGAGATGAGTTTTCGCAAGACCTCGATGAAACGAAACAATTCAATATTTTTAGGAACATCACTGAATTAAAAAAATACGAAAAATCTGCAGTGAAATTCAACCACAAAAAAGGAACTTCATATGAATGAAAGAATGAAATTAAAGAATTTCCCTCCATACACGCAACACTCACCGTTTCCACGAAGATTGACGATTTCGTTCCTCCAACAATAAATTATCCAATACCAGAACTAAAAACGATAAAAATCCGATAACCAGAGCACTCACTCCTCGAACAATCACTGGAGAACTCAAAAATACTTAAAAATCCTCAACTGTCATCAAGACGTTGTCATCATCACCAGAGACTTTAAAATGTCATCGAGATATCGCACTTTCGAGGGGATGAGGGACCGATGGTCTTCGATATCCCAATCACTGCTCATCAACACTAGATGTATACAATGTAAACAATGTAAACAAAAGTAAATAGTCCTGACGGGAGGGAAAAAAATGGGATCCGCGCGCGTCTCACCTTGCGGAGCGAGTCTTGAGGATATCGTGGAGGACAGGTCCACGCTGGGCCCTCGTTCCCTCTCCATCCGAACCCCCCACACCATCTTTCCACCTCCAATCCACTTCACCGAACCTCCCCGCCCCCCTCTGGCCCCGCAACC